CAAAGGGAACTAGACAGAAACATTACTCCAACACGGGTAAACATACGGTACTCCTTGCCAATAACCCTACATATCGTTCAGTCAAATTATGTGTGAGGAATATTGCCTTAACAGAACAATGCATCTTACCTCCTTATTCATGTCGATACCTTTCAATCAAGAACATTTTATGAACCCTTTACGTCAAATCATTGACCCTTCTTATGTTCAAACCATCGTTCGTATTAATCTCCACCGAGTCACTTATAAAACCAATTTGATTTTCTCTAAGCCTAACAAGATTTGACGGGAAACGCTCAGAACGAAACTACATACGGTCGACGAAAGGCGATGATAATCGAATGTTGTTCTCTTTCATAATAATGGGATAAAGAGGTCGGTACTGTTAAAAGAGCTCAGAAACTAATCTCAGGGATTAGGAACCAGCTGGTACATGGTTCCTCAGTCAATGCACTGGGTGATGCTGGTGAGAGGTAACGGAGTGTACTTTCATGTCATCTTGGAGACTGTCTTGTCTCGAGTCTCACTCAACTACATGAGGCCAGAAGGGTTTATAACACATGGCATAGGAAAGTGAAATGGTCAAACATTTTGTTATGGCAAAGTTCCAACGTGTTTAATTTCTCATTTCGAATATCATAATATTTTACACCTTTTTCTTTATCGTAACTATGGCAACAATAACCCGACAACCATCTCCTTCTACCGCCCCTTTTCCATTTCATGTCAATTATTATTTTCAAATGTTACAATTCATTGTTATTCCCTTGTGATTTTGGTTTGCTTTGTTTCATGAACGAATGTTGACGCAACGTGCATGCATTGCGGTAATGGCCGCTACACACGGCTGCGTAATCGTGTACGCTAATGTTATTGCACGCATGCGCCAGCCATTCAACGCAATATTCATTTCGTATTCACTTTTAACGACGTCATTCCCCCAATGGCGCTTCAAATACAGCGCCAGTACAGCGCCAGTACAGCGCCAGTCACTGACGCAGTACTACGCTAGCAGATGTCTCGTGTCCTACGGGTATTGAGCCACATCATCATCATCATCATTTTATTCATCTCAGACACATCATTCTAGCCTTGTAATTTGATTTCCGTCAACGCTCCACCCTCTCCCTGATCGAGCCCGAAAACCTGTCTCATCTGCTTGTCACTTTTGCGGTTGTTTTTCTTCTTTGTTTACTTATTTATTATCTTTGATCAACGACTAAAATGATAATCTTCTTCGAAGAACAATATGATATGTTTAATTGCCTGTCGTCAGTTGCGTGACGCATACTCAGAAAGCATGACGTGTCTTTCATTGAGCTCGTTCGTCATGAATTATCATTCGAATACTACCCAAGATGTGTCGCCAAAAGTTGAGCACACATGAACAATCTGGTCAGGATTCCGCCATAAAGCCTGTATCGTCTTACACTACACTCATCACCATTCATCTCTCTTTAGAACTCGTAAGAAACGTTTATGAACCATATGTGTTAATTTGATAAGTACATTCTTTTAACTCATCACGAAGATAATTGGGTGAAACGACATTTTTATTCCCGTGACATAAATTTAATACCGGCTTTACTTTGTCAAAAAAAGTTATGACTTCGGCTGCAACTCGGTGTTATCTTAGGTTAGTTTGGGGTTAGGTGTCTTCAGTGTTAGGTACATGAAGAGTTAATGTATCATCATTCGCTCTTTTTTTTTAGCTTTCTGTTTTGACAATTGATGTAATTTTTCTTCTTCAGGATCTGTAATTATGGGTAACTATCGTTATCTTCGGCAATTGAATCTTCAAAGACAAATTGAAGAAGCACGACACTGATTGATTGTTATTCCATGGTAAAACTTCCAGCCAATCACAAGCCTTGTACAATGGAGCTCTTATCACATTCACCAAGGACGTCTTCCAGCTTTAGGCGTGAGGATGTCTTTAATGCAGGTCTTTAATTCATGTTACTCAACGAAGGAAATGAACCCTGCAGATTCAACTTTCATGTCGTGCTTTCGATTGTTTCCAGGTCTTTGATCTTTCACAAAATCAGTCAAAATGTGTGCAGGGATGAAAACGTGAATGAATACCTACTCTACGGTAGATCTGTGTATGGATACACGGGTAATATGGAAAAGATGTTCAAAACTGTTATCCCTTAAAACATGGGAATGGTGTGAAATATATTAAGTTCGTCTACAGTTTCGGAATGATTGTTCTTTATTCCAGGAGTTAAAGAAGCGATCAAAGGAAAGAGAGAGAGAGAGAGAGAGAGAGAGAGAAGGAAAAAAACTTTAATCCATCTATTTTGCCCTTCCTGAGAATGCAAATGTTTACTAGAGTAAAGAAGCTGCAGAAGGCCAGGGATCTCGGATGATGAGATTAATGGTTTACGCACTGTGCAAGAAGAGAACATTACCTAGGTTAGGGGCACTGAAACGCACTAACCTGGGCCCCGTAACTTATAATAATGGTAACTTTGCCAATCAACAGCTGATCAAAATCAAGGTTTCCATGGTAGTTTCCACTGGCAAAGTAACCATCAATGGTAAGTTTTGTGCAACGTCGTCTCGAACCAGGATACTCTTTTTCTAAGACCATCGGTCTTTCTACTGGGTCCCATCATCACCATGTAGAATTCCCTTGAACTTTTTTCTTCTTAACATTTTTTTAATTCGTAGTTCATGGGCGAGGAGAAACGAACGATTTAGCCATCACAAGAAGACAGATAAAATATAGAACAAAAATTGGATCATGGTCTCTCCCTGGTCAGTTCAGGAAGTTTGGCTGATATAATGATGACAAAACCAATCGGTTTTGAGGATACTAACCCGTCACGTCTCTAAATTCTCACTATAGGTTTAGTGATAGAAACAAGAAAACAGAAAACAGATGGATATGAGAACGTGTCTGCCAGAACTTTGTACCAATGGCGGGGCGTTAACAGAAGCGAGGCAAGGTAGCTCTCTAACCAAGACGAAAGGAGTGAAAATAGGGAAGAGGAAACTTCAAAGAAAATTGCGAATTTTCCACCAGACTGGTAGGAATACACGGTCCCCATGAGGGCATGTGAAAACATGGAATGCGATCTAACAATTCAAATATTACAAAATCATGCAGCGACTGTAAATATTGTATCAACCATGGCTCGTTGGGTCTGGAGTGTTTTGGCCAAGGTCATGGAACAAGAACATAAGTACCGCTCTCTCTCTCTCTCTCTCTCTCTCTCTCTCTCTCTCTCTCTCTCTCTTTCTCTCGCCCTCTTATTCCGATTCCCCTTTTCTTTTTCTCTTTGTCTCTCTGCTCTATATGATACGTTTGCCTGTGTCAGCGTCTTTCGCATACACAGATTCAAGTTCACTCTTATATTTTTATATTACCCTTGAGACTGTAATTCAGACAGAATTCATCAATGAAATATGAAGAAAAGGATGAAGGCGATGCTGCAGAGTAACGATGGAAGTATACAATCAATGCGTTTCATCATGCTTTGGTCGGAAATAGTGAGGAAATTAAAAAGACGAACGAGTCCGTGAATTATTAATGAGATTATAATAGTTCGTGCTTTCTGGATAAAACGAATGAATTAAAAAAGTATTCAAAAAACATGTCTCACCTCTCTATGGCGCTTTGCCATTTAGTAATGAATAAAAAAAACGCGGAAATGAGAGGATTTTAGGAATGTATTCCGGAAAATCTCTTCTTCACAATTATTGTATTTAGGTAATTGCTTACTATTATTGTAATGATACAGATAAAATACCTTTAGTACTTATTCGAAAAGTTCAATGAAACAAAACGAAATGCGATTAGCTGTTGTTTGAATACTGGAAGGTGAAGGGAATAGCAATTTCTTTTTTCATGAAATCTTACCAAAACCTTTGGAAGTGTGCCATATCGGATTGTGTCTAGTCTCTCATCAACATTATCAAATATCGATCATCTGTCATCGTATGAATCAGGTATCGTGTCTTCTGTTTAGCTCTATATGACGCTGTGTCTTCCCATCTCCCTCCTGTCACTCTTAACTACCTCTCTCCCTGAGGAGCTTTGAGTTCATCAATCGGGTATTATCAGATTAAAGGCTCATGTATTTAACATTCGATTGCGCGTGACCGATTTTAGACCATCGGTTAGAGAACGTATTCCCGCCTTGCTTCGAGGGTCATACATGGACCATGTATGGATTAAATGCTTTGAAGTTAGATATACGCAACTACTGTTGATGAAAGCTTCTAATATTTGTCATCTAACGTATATCAAAAATTCCGAGCTTTAGGAAAATGCTTGAGATTTAGAGGGAAATGATTTTACATTATTTATACATATATGTAAGGCACGTCCGTCTATCCACAGAAAGGAATCCTTTCCAAGGTTATATCTATTGCAATGTTGCGAGGTCACCAAGTATATAGAAGATAGTAATTATACTTCTTTACCCATCTCATGATATAATGAAATCGACTTTGAAATATTATTTAAAGATTTATTATTGGGGTAACAATAACAACGTCATGAGTACATGAGTCTTCCTGATGTTTATAGGCTTCACCCGTTGCTAATTCATGAAATGTGTTGTATTTTATATATACAGTAGTCAGCTAGCTTTGCTTTATGCCTTCTTTCTGTTTGTTTCACCTTGTGCGTGTGATTGCTACTTCTTCTCTTACTAAAAGAGAAGAAATGGCCTCTCGTGTTTCCTTTGATGCATTATTTACACTCCGGATAATTTAATCGAATTTTGCTGTATAATGCGGCTAATGATAGAAACATTGTTATGCTATAATGTTTATTATTATACTTTAACCATTTTTTATAACTCAAATTATTTACGAATACATTAACATGAATTTTATGTTTATGCTTGTGTATTTAATTGAATTGAATTTGAATATGAATGTTTAATGTCAATGAATATGATTTTATAGTGAATCATGTATACAGTCTTGCATTTACCTGGTTTCAAATAATCTTACAACTATCAATATGTTTTCTTACTTTTCAGAGGCGCATTGACTTATCTGAGGAAGAGATTAATATATACACAAATCATCAACATATAGAAGGTGAGAATTAGTTCATTTTGTTCTGGATATTAAGCTCTTTGCTCGTCTTTTCAACGCATACCTTCTTGATTAAACATGTACCACTTTATCCGGCATATTTAAACAAAACACCACTATTATTATTATGTTTCCCCTTCCAAAGTGTTCAATTTTTCTCACAAGGAGAGAGTTATACTCTTCTTCTGTCTCTCTGTCTCTGTATGTTCATATCTTGATTTTTCTCTCGTAGCCCTCCCCCTCTCATTTTCTGCTTCCGTACCTTATTTCGTTTTGTTATCCCCGCATATGTTGTAGATTGCATTTATCAATTTCGCTTATATTTCCATATAAATTAAAATAGAAAAACAAATTGATCGTAAACCCTCATAAATCTCGAGATTGATGCAACCCATCAAATTCTGTTTACTTTCAATTATATTTAAGGCAACCGTACATTTTGACAATTGTGTGTATATGGACAATGCGACATAAAATATATAACGTGTTTTCAAATTGAATTCCTGCCCTCTGCAACTTAAAACTCGGCTTGTTTATCTATGATCACAAATCTGTTATCGCCACAATCATCTAAACATCTCTTCATTTAAATACCCCCAAAATATAGCCCTTCCATATTTGTCATTGAAATTGGTGTTCTATACTCCTTATCATAAAAACGGTAGTTAAAGCAATTGAAAGGAAGAGTCTAAATGCGTGTGCCAGTGGTTATGACTTTAGTAGTTTTGCTATCAAGTTGATGACAGACTTTGCAGTAATTGTTAAAAAGTGACCATTTCCATTCAATCTCTCAGTCAACAATTTTCACGCTCATTTTGCATTCATCCTGCTGCACGTTGACACGTTCTAACCAAGCATATTTATATGAGGATGCAATCCATTTCTTCAATATCCTCATATGTCATTACCTCTGGCTTTGGAGAGTCCCACTGTTCTAAAAACGCCCGTATGACTCGTTCTGATTGGAGCCAGAATTAGGTTATGGTCATTATATTAATCGAATTCTAGTCAGACAAACTTGGCAGCTTTATGAACAAGTTTGACGCATTTTGTTTAAAAAAAAACACATTTGTATTAAAGGCTTGCATGAAGCTCCTTACCTTTTCTTTGTTCTTGTTTACCCTTTTACTGCATTTAAAAATTATTACAACCTCTAATTTTATGTTACCATGATTACTAACGGCTTATCATCTACCACTAATATCTGTCACTCCTAGATATGATTTCATAGAGCTGTTTTGCTTGGAAAGTTGCGATTAAATGGAACTCCGAGTGTCCAATACAGCTCGATTCTGATTGGTTGAAAGCAGAGTTGGGTTTCGTTTTGTAGTTGCGTTTATTTGCAATTATTGTATGCAACACAAACCATTTTATCATTATCCGTATATACATGATTTTTTTTTAAATTATTGTTTTATCATTTTATTTTTATCTTTCAGATTACGATATCTTTTCACCAACATTCCATAAATCTGCAATACATAAACGAAGTATAGACTCATTACCAGCCCATCCCAGAAATCATGAAATCAAATTTAGCGCATTTGGTGATGAGTTTCATTTAAAACTGGAAAGAAACGTCTGGCTACAACGTCGAGGATTGACGGTGGACAGGCTAGGGGATGATGGAGTGATACAGAGAGAAAGATTAGTCGATGGAGACTGCCATTATTATGGAAAGTTAATATCTCACAGCAAAGCATCATCGGCATCTATCAGTACTTGTAAGGGTTTGGTAAGAACATTTTGATTATTTTTTTTGTTTGTAGATTATTTCTATATGTTAAACAAAAATATCAGCGTAGTGTCAAAACTGCATGCAGTTAAAGGCAACTACATTATTTCTCTGATTAATCATACATAAGACGATGTATAGTAATATTTAGGCCTTCCGATATCTGGTTTTCTATCTAAATATCATACCCTTATGTTCCAGTTTGAATGAATTACATGAACATGTTACTTACACATGTGTCACGTTTTCTCATTTCAAACTATTAATGACAGGCATGTACTTATTTACAGCTATCAACTACTTTCCTTAAAAGGATTGGTCTCCTTAAACCGCAGACAGCTGTCATATATTTCCGAGACTAACATTTAGAATTTAAATCAGTGATTCTAAATTTCAGCAACTGTCAGAAAACCGCTCCCAAAATCAGTTTTTCAAACTCGATCTTAACTATGAACCACATTTGCCTGGACATGTGGTTTGGTTTAAAGACCAATCCGTTAAACATCCAGATAACATCCTATCGACCCCATACTTGTCATATCGGTAATACTTCGTGGCAGCCTACTTTCCTTAAAATATAATTAAAAATTCCTTTTCATAATTATTTTTGTCAAAATGAATGTCCGTAAGAGACGTTCGACCCTGTTTTTTAATGAAAGTTCATGTAGGAAATATGCTACCCGCCCCATTTCTTCTGAGCGACCTGTTTCTGTGTTTTATTCATGGTGCTTTTTAATAATCGAGATATAATTGAGACATCCTCGGGAAATTCAGGTTACAAAACTAATTAAAGAATCAAATAAATACAAGTTTCTGTACCAGCACTTCATTATGTCTGTATCACGACAATGCTTATTGTATTGAAAGACGTAATTGTATTTCGCTGTTTCATTCTCTCGTCTCCTTGGTAATTATGTAATCAAATGAAAGAATACCACTTTTGAGATGTACGCATTCATTCATAATGTCTATAAGTTCAAGGTTGACCATTATACAAGTCCTGGGCCCCGTTTCACAAAACTTGTCATCAGTGACAAATGACAGATTCTGTTATAAGCTACTGAAATCCTCGCTTCTGATTGGTTATCAGCAGATTTGTCACTGATATTTGTCATTTGTCATTGAAAAAAGGCTTTGTGAAACGGGCCCCTGCTGTTGAAAGTGTACGCCCACACACTGAACGAGAAAAAGAAAAAGCAATTCTCCATGTATGCACACATCATGGTTTTATACATATATATTGAACAGTATCTTTCCCTTGTGTATGATTTAACTCTTCGGACAAGTCGAAGAGCTTTGTTCATTAATAATCAATCACATGGTAATGTTTTCAAATTGTAAAATATGACAATACGCAGCTCCACCTTTTTTTAAATGAATTACGAAAGCCATAGACATGATAGAGAAAACTTCCACTTCTTCATATATCAGCGTGTGGACTACACTCTTTTACCAGAATCTGTTCTCTTTTAAAGGCTTTATTTCACACCTTTTAAAGTTTTTATGTGTATTTTTTATTCTGAAGAAAAGCCGCTGAAAAGGAAAGTTTCTATTATTCACCTACTGTCACTATGAAAGGAAAGTGAGAGTTCAGAATTGGTTCACAAGAAAACACCTGTCTCGTAAAAAGTCTCTTATATCACGAAACCGTGAACTCTTGCTCCTTTAATCCTTTAAAACTTAACCATATCTTTATGGTGTTTAAAGCCAGAATAAATGCCAAACTGCTTCTAAAAATTATACAAGAAGTGCTATATTTAAACATGGAATGACATTCAATTCAAACTATTATGAAGAGGGGTGTTTATTCTGACAATGTGCTATTTATTTATTTTTTAAGTGTACGAAACCTGTATGGAGGAAGATTTTATCTAAAGAGTTTGACCGCGAATTCTGCATGAATTCTGCATATCAAATTCAATCTGATTTCCCTTAACCTCCATCAGTCTCATCCACCAAAAAAATCTCAAGGACTAGAAGAAACGCCTGTGTAGAGGGAATAAAAATGTGTTTATGGAAACTAAAATGTCGAAAACGATAAACGATTTCCTTAGACTGGTCCACTTTCAGTGTCTTCAAGAAGTGGGAGATACGGAAATTACCCTGGTAATGTTCTCAAGTCCGAAAGTTCATGCATATCAAAATAAATTACTTTTTATCCACTCTCAGGAAATAAAAAAAGCTTTACGATTGTACATGTCTTTATGAGAGCAAGTTATCAGAGTCGAGTTATGAGGAGGAGGAGAAGATATTTTTTTTTTATCTTGCTTTCTTTTTTTCGTAACAAAACACACCCCAGATTATCTGACAATATTCACTGACTTCAAAGTTGGTTTATTCGCTCTTTTTTCTTTATTCGTTCTTTTTTTTCTTCTTCACTTTAGATTTAATTCCTGTATCTTTCAAGCTGTCAATTCTTTCATCGTATTTCAAGTTTGCTTGTAATGCTTATATTTTGTGTTAACATGATTTAGTCACAATCGGAAACTTTGTATAGCTTTATAGCCTTCTTTTCATACTCCATTGTTGTAAGATAGTCAAGATAGTGTTCTCTATTCTTCGCATTGGAGAGCTGAATACAAAATATCCGAATGAGGTATTTCCTGCAACCTCCAACTCGGAAGATTCCAATATCACGGTTCATTTGCAATGAACTGGTCATTTGACTTTGAACCCAAATTTAGCCAAACTGCCTCAGGTCAGGTCGGAGGCAAATAAATTTGTTTTCAAGATTTTAGATTTTAGAAAAATCATCCCAAGGATAATGTCCACTTGGATTCATCCTTCAAAAAGCAGCTTTAATCATATCCTCTTTGATAGAATGTTTTGTGTTATTCGGATGCTATCCCAGCTTGTCAGTAATTAATGCTAATTGATACAGGACAGTAGACAGTGTGATGTCGTAACGGTTGTCTCTATTAACATTAATGACATGAATTCCTTGCAGTGTTTTGAGTTCCTTTCACGATTCCTCTTAAATTACGATTCCATTATCTTAATAGGGCCTTTATTTCCGCTTTATACCAGGTTATTTTCTTTGGGTCTGCTCAATATTTCAAATACAATCATACTCTGCATCAGCAGAGGTTCTTTACGACACATGTTATCCAGCCTTCAGACTTATTCTTCAATACGACTGAGCTAAATTTATTAGACTATATAGCCATATTTCAGTTACCAAATCGCCAATAGGCCCATGTCGTAGGAATTCGAACGACAAGTACATTTTCTCTCTCTTATAGTTTTGGAATAACAAATGATATCAGTCCTATTTCTATTTACAACACCGCTGCCACTGCTGCCGCAATTGAACGAACGTATAATTTTATAGAAAAAGTAACTGAATAATGGTATAACCGTGATCAAATTACATTGCAAAGAATTTAAAATTATAATGTTAACATTCTAAATCACTAAAGGGTAATTATCTCAAAAAATTAAACGTCTATTACAGCTATAGTCATAGATGCAAATACTTGAAACAGTTGCTTATAATTTATATAACAATACCTTTCATCTCTCTCTCTGTCTCTCTCTCTCCAACCAGAGGGGTGTCATAAGCCATGGAGATTCGGAATTTTATATCAAACCTCTTGAACATCACCATGCAAACCGGATCAGAAGAGATTCGGATAACCGACATGCCAATCCGCATATCATCTACAAACGGATATTCGCCAAATTACGAAAGACAACTCCACAAGAACAGGAGCAACCAACTGAATTCTGTGCCTCGGAAGATCGTAAGTACATTTCACTTGTTTTATATTTGACTGATCTGCTATCTACAATTCGTATTGATTTAGAAACATGAATCCACATGCACCGTTACAAACCCTTTAGTACACAAAAAGATCCAGATTAATATGAAAATAACCATACCTTGACGACGTCTACAAGGTCTCATTAATGCTCATAATTTGTAAACTGTCATCATATTTTGTTCGACCATGAAGCGGCAATGAGAGAATTGACATGAACGGATAATGCTATTACAATGCATAGTTTTCTAACTGACTTATAAAAAGACCGTGTATTATGTGGTGTCTTAAGGGAGACCTTTCAAGCAGCAAAAGGAAAACCTCATTCAATTAACCGACGGAATACTTCCCTCCCACTCCCTCTATTTATAGACATTTTCCGCAAATAGAATCTCACTTTTTGCCTGATTCTGTATCAAATTCTAGAGTATACACATGACAGCTCACACGACCAATAGAGCTTCAATTATTTTATCGTCATCCCATCCATTATATAGCTAACAAAACATGGATCATATTAGAATTTCAATAATTTGCTTCGGAAGTCTTTCTTTACAATTATTATACATACTTTATTATTATAGCTATTTCATATCATTTGCTCGTTTACAATGTGGAATAAGCTGTCATCAGAAGAAATGAGAGAAGGGTTCAATATTCATCAGATATGCCAGGAATTGCCAGGAATTTGGAAAGACACAATTCGTAATTGAAAACAGGTCTTGAACAAAAAAATGACAAAAATGAAAAGCGTATCGATTACTACAATAGGATATTGGTTATGACATTGTCGTTTGACTCGTGCGAGGTCAAAGGTCACGACGTGTTCTCATCAATCATCTATATGTTATGCAGGTAAAATGAAAAATTCAAACAATGTGGAACATGAGAAGGCTCTACTATCATGTTTTAAAAAAAATGAAAACAATGATCTACATTCTGCATGACGTCATCTACATGTACTATATCCCAAAAGATAACAAAATATGTAGATTATCAATGGTTCTCCCAATTCCTTATTTTTCATTTTAAACTACCCGTTCTTATGACGCCTATATCGTTGCTATGTTGGTAAAACATTATGGATCCTTCTTAACCTGATCATTATTATCATCCGTTAAACCCCGGCGCTAAGCTCTGTCTGAGCTTGACTCTTTCAAAAATCAACACTATTATTAGCTATTAGGGAGGTAAGAACTTATTTGGGGCAAGTTTCTTTAATTTTTTGTTTGTTTGCTTACTTGTTTGTTTTATATAGCGTTTGTTTTTGTTGTACTGCGCCCAAACTTTGCAATCTCCCCCTCCCCCTATTTCTGGTAACTTCACTCGACATAAAAGTGTCAGATTGGTCATGGAGGAGATCTCATAAAATGTTTTTAAAAAGGGTAACATCTCCCTTTTGTATTGGATGAGGCCACTAGTTCCTGATTGGTAGAATGTTATGAACGATGTCATCACGTCTAAGGTGTCTATCACGTCTAGAGATCTGATATCCTTGTTGATGCTGGGTGTGTTTGTGATCTACTGTCCATCAGCTCTGAAAACACAACGATAGATCAGATAAAATGGCGGCTTAATCATCTCCTTCTGGCATTGTTCTCGTTGGACTGAGTTCCAGGGTGCATCCGTCCACGGTGTTAGTCACTCTGTCAAGTTGATGTCTGAGGGATCAATGTTTGTCATGTCAATCTGTCAATCAAGACACCATCAGACGGACATCGATTACCAGGGTAACATTGACCTGGGAGAGACTGCCCTCGAGTAACAGTTGGACTGATTCATAATTTCCAGTCATCCCAGACTGAATTCATTCTTCAAGATATGAATGGACATCCGTAAATCTAAAATCTACTGACAATACCATTTAGGCCATCCGAGAACAACATTAGATCTGTCACAATCGTAGATGTTTGTATACAAGAACAATGTAAGGCGACGAGTCCATCTCGTCTCGCGTTATACATCCAGTTCAACATCCGCGACGACTGACACGTTGTTACCATGGTTACGAAAGTGGGATGAAACCAAAGAGGAGACAGCTTTCGGACCTCTCTTGTCTGTATATTAACTACCCAGTTTGTGAATTTTGTGCGCTAAGTGAGCTAGCAAATAATTCGACATTGATTACAATGACAGTGTAACTTCGTCATCAAAATATTCTAGAACTGATAGTACATGAAAACTACAAAGAGACGACCTCACTGCCTGATCATGAGGTGTAATTTCAACCATCACGAGGGGGCGGGCTGCATCCCACAAGCCCCCAGGTCCCCCCCCCCCCCCCCCCCGCTCGGCCCGTTAGCCCAACAGTTCAGAAATCAGCTCCTCCAACTTACTCCTTGGACCCTGAAACCATGCATGGACCTCGTATAGTACCAAGCGTAATCCTATGACCTAGATACATGATCCTGATTGGCTGAAAGTCAAGTCACGTGACTGTCGGAGTTACACTTACTCACCAAGCATGAGAACTCTAGAGATTTAACGTGTTTTATTCCCACAACAATTGGAATATTTCTTTTGGAGAGGGGGAGGGGTGATGGGGGAGGGAGAAGAAAATAGGGTAAATAACTTATAGAGAATTACAAAAGTAAGATTTGTTGAAGGTAGGCTATTGAATATAATGGGGTCAAGATTTGACGTATATACGGACAAACATTTAAAATGAAACGTATCAAGTGATATACGTATAGGAAATTGGCATGATGGAGAAAAGAAATGTACAAAGACACTTGGCAATGGTGTTAGTTTGTCAATATTGTTTGGGTGTGTCGAGAACCCCTGCATGTTTATCAATTTCAATCCATACTATTAGCCGCATGTTGGCAGATGCAAAGGGGAATTTCTTTGAAGTTCTTTGGAACTTTAGGCACTTGATCAACCCTTGTAATCTAGATTCCACATGAACTATAAACATTTCTCCGAAGTAGATGAAATGCTTCTTTTGATACCTTTTCACAAACATGGGTCGAAATGATTGATACATACAGGGGCGTACGCAGGGGGGGGGGGGGTTGGGGGTTCAAACCCCCCCCCCCCTTTGGTATTTTTATGTATGTAAACCCCCTAAAAAAACTAAAACCCCCCCCCCCTTTGTTTTTGTTTTTGTTTTTGTTTTGTTTTTTATTATTAAAAAAAAAAAAAAAAAAAAAAAAAATTATACCCACGGCTAACCTAAATAAGGTGACCTTCCCCCCCCCCCTCCTAACGACAAAAATGTCAAATAATGAAATTTCGAGACAAAAAAAAAAAAAAAATGTCCGCTTACCCCCCCCCCCCCCCCCCCCCCCCCCCCCCCCACTGAGCGACTTTTCGGCCGGCGCGATTTTCAAATTTTCGGGAGCAAAATATTTTAAAACCCCCCCCCCCCCCCCCTTGAAAAAATCCTGCGTACGCCCCTGGATACATAGATAGATTGCAGTTTTCGTATCGTACAATTATCATTAGTAGATCATAGTGATTTGTATAATGTGCGAAAGTCGTTTACTTTTACCATAGCAGACGGATCCACGGATTTTATTTTTAGTTGATTAATTTATTCACCACACATGGGTTGGATTGCTCTTGTCAGCTAATAGCCGTTTTCAGTTATTTTTTATTTTTTATATCAACCTGATATTACCCCCTTTTTTTGCGAAAGAGAGGGGGAGGGGAGATGGGAATAAAAACTCTTTATTCAAGATGTAGAGATGTCTTTGTTCTTATCTTCATTCCAATAGCCGATGAATCATTATGTATTAAATATGGACTTGTAGAAAACAAATTATTCAATTTCCATAATTAAACCGAATTCCCTCTGTGAGATTATGGATAAACATGCGTATTTCCAAATGACTGATCCTTCCCTTAGCTTGTATAAGACCGTGATACCAGAGGCGACAAATATTCGGCAGCTTTAAGACCCGAAATGCTTCAATCAAGGAAGTTTGTTTCTAATGCTAGATCTCTGAATAAGCCTATTTTGACGTTCACTCCTGACTCTCGGCTTAATGTGAACGTCATAACCTGACACCGTGTTGAGAAAGTTCACACATTTCTCAATATGGGTACAGGAAGTCGATTTACTGGGAGATTATATCGGCTACAAGGGTTTACCAATTGTTCACCAATTTAGTAACATAATGCAAATGGAAGGCCATATAATTTGCTTGTAATGAGTGTTCCTATGAAAATGAAAATCTTTACTGAATGCCATATTTCAGTGAGTTCATCACATTAGTGCATGTAGATTACGTCGATTAAAACAAATAATTTCACGGTGTTTTCACTGCTGATTGAAAAGCAATCTAGAACTATTACCATACTTCAAACATATTAAGCACGATAAATACGTTTTGAACATTACCATGAAATCTATGCAACGAGAAACTACAAATTGGTAGCGATGATATAAAGCAATGAATATGCGGATTCTTAATCGTGTATGAACCGGGTAGATATTTCATGTAAAGTAATTGAAATAATACGGAATATGTCTTCAAATAGCCGCTTGTAAACTTTCCATATGAGAAATGCAAATAAACTTTTTTATTTTTTTAATTTTTTTTTAGTCATTTTTATTCGAAATGACCAACGATTCATTAAAACTTTGAAGCTATTAATGTATTCAAAACTTAGTTTTTAAACGAAAAATGATATCTTGACAAGATGTTCAGTCCCCGGCGTATATATATCTTTTAGTTATTACAAGTCATTACTCGACATTCAAACTTCATCAGAGTAACATATTTCTATCGGTATCTTGTGTGTTACCGTGATCTATGAGGAACAGCCTCATACTTCCCAGAATACCATGAGCCTTCAATCATGTCAAACCCGTCATCGACCACAGAGTCGTAGGGAGGTGATTATTCATTGACCTTATCAGAGTGATGTCTTATGGGATAGCAGAGGAATTAAAGCATACTTCCGCCCTATGAGTGAGGCAAACCGACTTCATAGTAATGTACTCGTCCGAGATCACGGTCACGTTTACATTCTAAAATTAATTCCACCATTTTGTTAACAATTTCGGTCGAGTATATAAATGACATTCTGTTACATTATTATAATAATTGCCTTATTTTTTAAGTAAACGATGAACAGAGCAACTTTTCGTGGATCAGAGAATAAGTTCAATAATAGCTGTTTTTACGAGACAATATTATATTAGAATATCAGTATATGTGTTTATTTTTAAGAGAATAGCTGTTTATCTAATTTGGTATTGAGAATCATCTTTAAACTGATTCACTATGTAGATATATATGAACAACTGACTAGCTATACCGTCGAAATTAAAATGTAGGTCACTTATATCAAGCTCGAATTTTTAAAATAATTTTCAGTCATCAATAACCATGCTAACAAACGATATTCAATTAAGTTATTGTATGACCATAGATTGACCTCTTTAGACCTATACCTCCTTGAATGATCCCATTTTTGTTTTAGACGTTCAAGGGTCTTTTTAGTTCAGCCTAACTGGGACTGACTTCGATAGAACTTTATAGGATGCTTTGAGGAAGCGCAACAAACCGCGATGTTTCCCCGGGAGACGCGTTCTTCTACTCTTCCGCTGGTTCCCTCATATAGTCACAATAATGTAGTAAACGAGAGTCAGCTAATTTGATCAGGAATTACCCATCATGTCTATTCCGCCATCGTAAATTATGTTCGTCAGCTTGATCAATCCACCCTCTTTCTATTCTCTTTTTTTGTTCCTTCTTCTTTTTAATAGAGATTTCGCTGGGTTAGATTGACCAGAGTTTGACCTTATTTTATCAGAGGATTCAGATTGCATATGATGTGGGTTTGTGCCTTGTTGTACAGTATGTAATCTTAATCATCACCGTCGAATTAGACTTCACATGTTTTAACGAATTTCAGCATAAATCCTTAGCATTTAAAACAATTTCTCTTTCCTTTGTTATAAGGTTTTGTAGATTATACCTCAGAAGAAGAAAAAATATATGACTGTATACCGAAGTAGATATTTATATCCGTGAGTCCTCTACCTATCATTTAGGATTTGATTATGTAAATATATATTTTTCTTTGAAGATTTTTTGTTTTTGTTTTTAACTATCTGTGACTAATCTAGATGGTCTAAACCTCATACCTTATTTAAAAGCTATCATTAAACTTAATACAAAATACAAATCTACCAAACAATAATTAGAATGCTTCACCATAGGTAGTCTTTCGCAATCGTAAATGTATATGTGGCATTCCATTTTTATGATAAATATTTAGTTTCCAAGCATCAGTGAACAATAATCATACATCTACTTTATTTTGAGCAAAAAAATACTGCCCTTTAGAAATCGATTAAAATATTGACAATAAAAATCACTTCATACAGGAGAGGCGAAAGTGTAATTATAATTTAGTACACGTAGGCCTATCTTATATTTTAAAGAAATGTAATGCTGATTAATCAAATTGTATCCAGTGGTAATTTGATATGACCTTGCATCGCCCATGGATTTATAATACTTTCTTCGTCACTGCAAGCCTCATGATCAATAACATATTTTTTCCCAATCGCTATTGCATGGAGCTTCTTTTGTCTGAGGGGAAAGCTTTTAATTCATAGCTTCATTCCCATTTAATTATGGAATGCTATTCTATTGAATATTCGTTGAGTCATTCAATGTTATTGTTGTTCACGACCTTGCTGTAAAGCAGCTTATAGCTGATAGCAGTTTTTTTTTTAACCGTGATTAAATAAAGAAAATACAAAGAAAATAAAAACCATGATTCTACAGCAGAATATTTGCCCTCTCCTTCTCTCTCTCTCTCTCTCTCTCTCTCTCTCTTGTTCTCTCTCTCTCTCTCTCTATCTCTCTCCCTCTCTCTTTCTCGCTCTCTCTCTCTCCCCCCCCCCCTCTCTCTCACTAATCTATCTATCTATCTATATATATATATATATATATATATATATATATATATATATATCTATCTCTGTCTCTAACAAGTCGTTTTCAAGCTCATAATATGTATTCTTATGTATGTCATATCATCTCACTTTGTCGTACAGTTTGAGGTAGCTTCTCATGTTAAACATGTTGCCAACTAGGAGCATAAAATATGTTGAATGTTCCAAAAAAATGTGATCTTGACTGAGCTTGTCGGAAGCAATATCGGAAAGCTGCGGGATATTAAGCTGCTAGCTTCAACCCGGTAATATATCCATATATCCGTGTTTCCGAGTGATTACAGATGCTTACCACGTACTGCTCAGACCTCGATGTCAAAAAAATATTGTGAAGTTTCTGATTTGATGAAGATATAAATATGTAAAGATGTATTTCTACCTTGGCCGTCTATCAAAGATTATTTGAGTTGGAACAAACACTGAGATGGTGATAGCATTCGTATCCAATTAAAAAAAAAAAAAAAAAAAAAAAAAAATATATATATATATATATATACCAACACAATATTCTGAATCAGGGAATGTTCTATACAGTATCGTTCATCTAATATAGTAAACTTATAAAATCTAATACGATGTATTTTACTTATACTTCGTTGTTGCGTCAGCGCTGAACAGTCAACAACCTATACAGTGTTGATAATAATGTAGTAACGATGAACATCAATGGAATATAGATTGAGATACTTAACCTTGCGATCCCTGACAAAGAATCCTAAATTGCTTTCATTTTGATTAAATCATTTCTATGGATGACACGTATAAGGGTCAGATAGTTATCTGTATGATTGATGGTATATGACAATGTTGTATTTGACATGTAATCAAGGTTTTGAAATAGAGGATTATCAGGTAATCATATTCAATCTGATCACAGATCAATATACTCCTATTTTATTTCAAGCATGTCTTAGAGATCAAATGTCAAGTTGTAAGTGATTTACCTATTTCTGTGTTAAGAGATATTACGGAGGAAAATTATCATAATGGGTAATTTTTGGAAGATATTGGAATATCGATAAGTGTAGATAGTATAGACGTGGGTGAAATGCTATGTGTGAAAAAGCTAGATGATTAAATAGGGAAGATAAAAGAAGATACTCGTGAATATATGGCCAAATACAATTCACACAAACATGATATTTTTACATTGCTACTTTTACCTGATGAAGTGGTAGTAACATGATAACGCTAAATAGCGACTTGAAAACTAAAGTAAATATTATACTATACACTTTCTATTCAGTGTATTTAATAATTTAATCCATTTGTATCTCCCTCTCTCTCTCTCTCTCTCTCTCTCTCTCTCTCTCTCTCTCTATCTCTCTACACTATCGCCTATCGCCGCCTCCTTTATCTCTGTTCTCGCCTCGCTTATTTCCTCTACACACGTTTGCCTACTTTTAGCGGAATCGTCGAACTCGGAGATCGGGAACTATACCCGTGCGCCTTCGACGATGATGTCGTCAATGGAAGACGTGTACATAGGTCAGAAGTACCTGGAGTTCATGGTCATGATTGATAAGAGTATGGTTGAATTCCATGGTGATGACGTCATCAATTATACCATGACGCTGATGAATATTGTAAGTACATTGATACATTTTTATTTCAAATTCAGTATTAAAAAAATTAACATTTACAATGTACATATAAAATCAACTTAAATATGTGAAACAAAGTAATGACATTTAAACACAAATAGTTGGAAAATGAAATAGGGTGTATTAGTAAAAGCCCATGTGGCAGAAGTATTATGAGCTTCCGGAGAAACCATTACATTGTTATTCAGTTTAGTTTCTTTTTAAAACAAATAAACTACCATGTGAATCAACATTGATAACATGCCACGAAGCTGTTACATTGAATGTGTTTATCGTAGAGTTAGACCAAAGCTAGACCTGTATATGAATAAAGCTTGACTGACTTGTTCGTGTATGTATATACAGTATGAATGTATGTATCTCCAGGACTAGAGTTATCTTATTGTCATGATTACCGTTGGAATGACAAATATGATAGACCCCTTTAAGAATATTATAAATCATAACTTTTGTTAAATTACAGGTCTCAAGGAGATTCGCAGAGCCTTCGTTAGGAGTAAGCATGCGATTGGCTATCACCAAGTTCATCATTCTCGATACTGATACACCGATGGTAAGTTCATACTTTATATCACCAGTGAGTAGAACCCAGGTAAATGACTTGGACAAAGATCTTGTCCCTTGTTCTAAACAGAAAATGAATGAGTGATAGAATGAGGGAGATGGAAGGGGAGAAGGCTTGACAGTAATGGTAGTTCGGGAAACCTTACAATTAGACAAAAAAAATCAGTGTTTGGAACGCTGCTGGGACAACTTAGCACTACGAAAATCAACTAGTGATAATTATGTTACTGAAATGATTGCTCTATGCTGTATAATTAATTTTCGATAGTACAGCTTACAAAATAATGATACCAGAATTCCAGCTCAAACTAAAAACGCTTTGATAAACATTGTAATGTACCTTAAGTATTTCATATTGGGAAACTTTTTTTTTTAAATCTTTAATTTTAGAACTTTAATAATTCAAACTATAGATTACTATTTATATTCCAAAGTTCTGTCTCGATGGTGCCAAGCGTGCGGGTATTATGCTCATCGTCACTTATTTCACTTTAGGAATATAAGGATCATATTTGTCCATTTCAGATAAATGAATGTCTCAACATACGAACATGAGGCACCTGTATCACTTAACATACTATCCAAACCACAGGTGTCCTGATGAGCTAAGTGTCATTGATACATTATATATCTGAATCATCTAATCAAATTTATCCAAGTCATTATACAGACGGATGAAGTGAAAAGTATTTAGAGGTGTCATAGCTTAAATATGAATCTCGTGGAGGTCAGTTGATCAGTAGGGATGAATAGACCTTGGGATGATTTTAAATCATAATACTATGTTGTTATGTTATGTCTTCTCAGTGTACTTCCTAGCATGTTGATGGCTAGTCGTTGATTAGACAATGATATGTTTCGGAATGGATATCACAGGATCATCATCGGCCTTAATGTAAAGCAAGGACAGTGATTTTGCATTCATGGAAACATTCAAATGGCTCGGAAGTACCATATCTCCTCATGACATGCCGCGTCAATTACACATGCGTAGTAGAAATTAATATCACGATAATAGTGTAAATAATTATGACAGGTATTGAATTCAAATACCGTTTTAAAAATCTTGCAAGATTTCTTGACTCTTAGGAAAGAATGATAATGATGGAGGTAAAAAGCTTTATGTAGGTATTTTGTTTGATAAATTTTGTTAGGTCTTGTTTTATTTCCAGAGCATAACTTGTTGCTAACTTGGAATACTTTGGACGAACCGACACCGAATGGAAATCAATTTATTCCAACTCTTTCTCTCTCTGTCGTCTGAGCTTCCTCCCAGGTGAAAGTAGATTAGGTGAACCATAGGTCGTCACGCCCTCTGTCGTCTCAAGAGGCGTATTTCAATTTTGAATAATTTGAGCCTTGTTTTGTAATGAGTCTAGACGGATTCCCTGTATCTTAATTCATTGAGTATTCCTCCCAAGACTGTGTTGAATTAGGCCGAGGTGGTAGAACTATGTTATTGACAGTTCAAGAAATGGTTTCAGATCAACTGTGGTGAACACCACAATGGGACGAATCAATTAACAGTGGTACATGTACTAATCTGTGAGTAAATACTTGTGGTGGGCGTGTTATAGGGGCAAAGTCGAATGGGAAGAGGTTTTAAGATCAACCACTCCACCCTATCAAGAGTCGTTTGTATAAAGAGAATATAATGAGGTAAGACGTTAGAATATTCATTCAATGATATGCAGTCGGATTCCTCTTTGTAATTCTATTTTCGCATGGTTGTAATGATAGACAAAGTCATATTTAAAGTAAATTCCCTAGTCAGAGCTCGACCTTCAATGATTTTTGAAGTCGGAAGTTTTGACCCAATTCCTCAACTCTGTGTATGTCTGCTCCAAATTGTTGTTTTTCGTACTTAATTTTCTTTTGCATAATGTGGCTTATAAATATGACTCGAAGCTTCAATGTTGTTTTCGTCACTATGTTCGATCAATGTTGATCTATTTCCAAATGTAGCTTTCTTTACCTGTCGTTATCTATATTGTGAATATTTTTAATACATATATTTTATGTTGATAATACTAATTTTACAATAAAATTACCAAACATTTTCTCACTCAGAAAGATTTTCATTTCCTTTAACAATGACGTGGTAGAGCAAAGAATTGTGTATGTTAATTAAGCAAGATTTGTGAAAACGGGGTCGCCGGTTTCAACCAAAGATCACGCTTTTTATGAGCCGAGCGGACTTTTTATAGGAGTGAAATTGTTTGTTCATTTTAGCTAAATACGTATTCGAGAAAGTGCAGTGCTTCAAAGAAACTGCTGGACCATACAAAGGAGTGTTTTATTCGTTATTTCATCAATAATTGTAAATGATACGAGTGCATACAAGTCTTAGTTGAGCAACATAAAATATTTTGGTATGCTACGGCTGATCGCGACAAAGAATGAGGATTGAATCGTCTCCATCAGCAGTCTAACCCGCGAGAATAAACATGCCTTTCATCTGCTTGGGGCTTAAACCATTCACAATTATTGCTCAAATGTTTTCATCCTTTGTATGTGTGTTTACGGATAATATAAATGGTTCACACACAAAAAGGTGTTCTTTTTACTGGAAGCACAATACTTAATTCAGCCCTATCAGCTATCAATCATCGACATAGAAAGAATTATAAGTTTAGACATGTTCTTTCATCTAGAGAAATTGACACGGAATTGTAAGCCTGCAGCACATTGCAGTCGTGATAAAAACCAATCATTTTAACCTGCATAATAGGGTTTACTCAAGAGCTTGTTCAAAGTTCCGATAATAATCAAAATGAAATAATGTTCAAACTTTTTCTTCTTCATGCACTTTTTTCTTTGATAGTTATTTGATTGAACAATTATCAGATTACATCGCTTTGGATCGTAGAAAGTACACAGTCCCAAACAGTACAGCAATCAGTCACCACAAGTTCACTTTATGCTATTCAGATGCTCGATATGTTTTTTTAAGGAAGAGCCAACATTACTTTATTCATAAAATGTTTTCATTGTAAAGTTTATATTTATCATCTCAAGAGACGCATAATGTAATTAAACAATTATTATTCAACCATAGTTATGAGATCAATACACTCCAATCAGCATGATCAGAGAGAGTTGCGGAACCTTGGAGGAGGGGGGGGGGGCTAAATCTTATCTTGCATGTCTTCATCGAATATAAATAGAACCCCTCCCTCCCCCTCCACCCCATTTGATTTGTGCCTCGAATGATTTAAGACCCTCTAAAGAACCTGAAAATGTTTCAGACTCGTGCTCCCCCGCCCCTGCCCTAGAACCCTGAAACTGCTCTGATTAACGTACTCCGACTCAGAATAAATTCGTGTTGTATGTAACTTTTCCTTGTCCAGAGCCCGCCCCCCCCCCCCCCCCCCACTCCGAGAACGGACGGACCCCATGCGTGTTGCCAAAATGTCCTTTTCGTAACAAAAGAAAAAGGTCGACCCGTATTGACTTTACACACCGGACTTTTGCTGAAAAAGGGGGGGGGTGCTGAAAAAAGCTCGTATACAAAAGAAAAAGTTCGAGCCGTATTGACTGTACACACCGGACTTTTGCTGAAAAGGGGGGGGGGGGGTCGGTTGGAACACGCATATGCGTACCCTAAATAACACTGAGTGGGGGGGGGGCCGGGGTCCAGAGCTGGGAGGTGATACCTCCCTGTCTAGGGGGAAATTACTATGAATACTCTGGATGTACCGTACTCATAATAATCAACCATGTATATTTTAATTTGTGGGTAATGTCATGGAGATAAATCAAACGAACCAACCGTCTGTTGAGAGTCAGAAGGCTGTTGGTAAAAGCATATAAGTTAACACCCTTCTGGTTCTCAACAATACATCCCAGTCTATAAGAACACAATAACAGGTGTAATTACATTCATATTACAGGTGCAGTCTATCACAGGTCATAATATCAGTCTAAATGTTCAGGCAAACGGACCTCAGTTATTGGAAGAGTTTTGTCGCTGGCAAGCTGGCTTTAATCCAATCCATGATGCTCATCCTGAACATTGGGACATCGCTACGCTCATTACAAGGTAAAATATAATAATAAGAATTGATGATTGATTGATTGATTGACTGCATGGTAGGTTGTTTTTTAATGTATGTAGGATCATTATTGCGGATTGGTGAATTGATTTAGTGCGAATTAAACAGTAATTGTTGTTTGGCAAATCGACTGTTTGGTTGATCGCTAGCTGATTACCGGTGGTAGGTCAATTAATAGACTGACTGTATTTTGACTGATGTATTGATTGATTTCATTAATGTATTAATATTTCTGCTTTTGATTTGAAATGATAATTATTCAATATCTGCATTTATTGGGATTGATTGGCTGAATCTTTGTTGTATAAATTATTTGCTTAATTGGTTGTGTGGTCTGTTAGTCTTTCTATCTTTCGATCCGAGATTGAGCCCTTATAATTACATTCTAACAGTGAAAACAGTCATATCACGTTTTCCATGAATATGACGTCAATGTGTATACATATCAACACCAACTTACATCTGCTAAACACACGGATCAACAAAAAATGATATCGTCACTGTTTCTACTCTAGCCCCATAAAAGTCGGTTAATTGTGACGTCATGATACACTCCAGTACCCGTATGTGGTGACGTCATGATTTCCAGCTTTCGTCAGTAGATGTGGACTTATCATGGGAATCTGTCGAATATCACAAATATAATCCATATTCTACGGTTTAAATATAGGGACATGGAGATAATGAACAATAATATTATGTCCATGTTTAACACCTGTGGATAATGAACGCGGGGGTCCGCCCGCGATGTAAACAAAATATTTCATATTTAGGAGCACCCAATTCAAATTCAACTACAAGATATTTGTTATATACTGCTCTGTTATGAACATGTTTACTCCAACAACAATGTTAAAAAAATTATATTGATACGTGAAGAATTGATTTTAATTGATTTAAATTATCAGTCTTTTACATATTACAGTCTTATCCAAAAAATGACGAGAAAGCGATTCAACATAGTGTCACAAATTGTATATCCGTGATTCCTTACAAACGGTATTTGATAATACGGGAAGTCAATGGTTTCATTGTTATAATAAAATAAATATTAATGTTTTATGTTTCTAATTGTTTAATTGACTTGAATGCCGAATGAATAAACACGTGCATTGTTTAACCTCAATAATGACATGTGCATGGCTAGTGAATGATAGATGTATACAAAGATATCATTCCTCGTCAATCTATAAGTGTGATATATTATTTTTTTTCTCTGCAGAAAAGACCTATTTAAGCTATCTGGAACCTACCGTGATACAAACCTTCTTGGAAGAGCATACATCGGGACTACATGTCAACGCTCATTACAATGTTCAGTGAATCAAGATGATGGACTCACTACTGGGTCGGTTATAGCTCATGAAACAGGGCACAAGTAAGTCTTTTCTAAATTTGTTCGAAGAAACCTGAAGTATACAGGCAATAACCATGGGCATCTCGTGTCTCAAATATCTTGATTTTATATTTTGAAACCATATTGCATCGATTAATGTTAACAAGAGTCTATTCAAACGTCGGGATAACAAGTAGATATTGTATATAATTCTTAAATAACCATTTTAACCATTATCTACTTATAAATTTGGAGAAAAAACAACAAGTTAGATAATGCTTTGTATATGAAGTCGAGATGACGGAATGTTGTCATAATATCTAGACTTATTTCCATCAATTCTTCCAGCAAGTTTTCATTATATTTCATTCGTACTCTTTCTTTCTTCCTAAAATAGTTTAAACCTTCACCATGACCCTGACTATGGGTGTAATAACGGACATCATGTCATGTCTTCAGCCAGGCCTGTCGGCGTAGAGTCATTCAAGTGGTCTGTCTGTAGTGCACAACAGATTAAAATCTTTCTCACGTAAGTGTTATCCAGAATGATATTGCTTCCTTATCCTTCTCCTCCTGTAACGTGTAAAGTTAGTAATAATCCCGGCCCCCCCACTCAGTGTTATTTAGGGTACGCATATGCTCGTACCCTCTTTTTGAAAGCACCCCCTATCTGAGGACTGCTAACATTTCCGAACCCCCCTTTCGCGGGCTTTTTGCGGGCTTTTCCTGCCTTGGAGACCCCCCTAAATCAGGAAAAATGCTCAATGTACCCCCTTAAATTCGGAATTATTTCTCTGGAGTCCAAAGAGATGAGAGAAAAAATGAAAAACACCCCCTTTTTAAAGAAATCTCCGGGTGAAAAGTCAAATACACCCCTTTTTTTACAATTCTCGGGCCGGACTTTGTCGCACGAAAAGTACCCCTTTACCGGACATTTTGGCAACACGCATGCGGTCATTCCGACCTCTGAGTGGGGGGGCCGGGGTAATAATACGTCCATTTATATGACGCAGCTACTATATGGATATACTCTACTGCGCTTTACACAAAGTATCGCGTTATTGCTCCGGCTGTAGCCGATAGTAACATAACAAGTCACTTTTTTTGTTAATCTTAACTGATTTTGCCAAACATGGTAATCTAAAAAGCTTTGATTAATGATTAATTGTGTAGTCTAAGCCCCCCCCCCCCCCCTAAAAAAAAAATCAAATAACTTTCTTTCTAGAGTTAGGACATACAAGCCCCCTCTCCCTCTCCTCCTTGATGATTCGTTTTTATATTTTCTCTCCAACAGTAATCGGTTATCTTCTTGCCTGAATGACGCACCTAGTATTGATGACCCGGAAGTAGACTTGTTAGTTGTGAATGATCTTCCGGGTAGACGGTACACCTTGAGGGCCCAGTGTCAGTTAGCCTACGGAGCTAGCTCAGCCGTCTGCTCCCAATCTGTAAGATTCAAACTAAATATTGCCTGAAAATAAAAGATAAAAACTGTCCTTCTATCATTCAAGAAAAACAATATAAAACGATTATTACTTTGAGAAAATTGAAAAACATATCAGTAATTGATGAAAGCGAATTTTTATGACTTCTCAAAAAGACAAGTATTTGAAGAAAGAATTGATTGAAAGATGTGATTGCAAATTTCTAAAAAATGCTTTGTTTCTGTTCTTTTTTTTAACATGCTCCACTTTCGCTCACATAAATATTGATACATTGATATACTCTCACTCTGATCTCGAAACGATTCAATCTATAAACTGCAGTACTGTGTAATTGTCTTTTTGCCTTAAATATTTACGTAGTTTTTCATAATAGTTGTAGTTGTTTGTAATGTTTATTACTGTATGCTTCCACGATGTGCCTCTCTGTCATATCAATGTGTTAACATTATTAGATGTTTATTACATCCAATAGGTGTGTGGTAGTCTAGGTTGTCAAGAAGGAGGTTTCTGTCATTATTCTGGGATCATGATCATGGAAGGAACTACGTGCGCACCTAATAAGGTATCACATTTTATCCATTTTATTAATCAGCCAATCAGAATCAATGATTTATTAAAGATAAAACATCATTGGTCAATTCATGAATGCATTCGATCATAGATAGATAGATAGATAGATAAATGGTCTATTCAAATCAAATCAAACATGTAAACAATAAGTGTTCATTAATTCCATGCTTCGTAGCTAAAAACTAAATTGCGCAATGGATTACAGAATTAATTATTACAAGGTAAAATTGCACTTACTAATAATAAACTACTATAGATAATAATGCAACTCTTGGCACCGGCGTCGAACCGCTGCGCCACCCCAGTCACCAGTGGGGCACGAAACAGTAAGATCATATACCCCCCTGATGAATAGCACGACGCAACGGATCAACACACATGCATACAATATACAGCACAATTCACAGTGAAATAATGAATACAAAAGGACTGGTATGGCGGAGGAGAAAAAGAAAGGGGGAGGGAGTATAAGAAAATGATAACTTTTACATGATTAAAACATTACATACTTAACAAGAAATACATGCGTAATACTGTACATGGCAATTAACTGGTTTAGAACATTTCAACTCTGAAAATAGTAGTGTTGCGTGTGGAAAATTACAAAAATATAAATCTATGTTTAGCATTAATCGTTCAATTTTCTACGAAACTACGAAACTACGATCATGAAACTATTTGCCTGCGGTCCAAATAAGGTTTCGTTATTATTTATGTCATTTACCAGCCAATCACAATGTTTCATGAAAGGTTGACTCTTATAGGTCGATTTACGAATACAGTAGATAAGAAAAAGATATTGATCTAAACAGCACATCTGACGATAAAATTATATTTATAAAACTATAACTTTTGTTTGTGCTTATTTGTATTATGGCTGTTGGAAGAGTAAATCATTGAATCCGAATCGGGAAAATATGAATTATTATGATTATGATTACTTTTGTATTTTCGTTAATCCTTTGATTGTAATTATAATTCAACCCGCATTCTTTCCCTCTCTACCATGCAGTGGTGTATAAGCGGTGAGTGTGTCTCGACCAGTGATGGTCTACCTGGACCAGTGGACGGTGGATGGTCGGACTGGGAAGCTGAGTTCAGTCAATGCTCGAGGTCTTGTGGGACAGGGGTTCGAGTTAGGAAGAGGAAATGTAACGACCCAACCCCTGTGTATGGAGGGCTAGCATGCGAAGGACAAGGACGGGAGGTTCAGCTTTGTAATATGATGGTAAGATTAATCACAATACAAAAATAGAAATAGAAATTGATTGATTTTCAGAATGTATGACTTTGCATCAAATGTGCCCGAGATTATTTATTACAGATAAATCGGTTTTAACTTCGATTTCAAAATATGCTCCAATTCAGATTATTGTTTTTATTTTTTTGCTGACTATGACTATTTAAATAATGTCGTAATAATTTTTATTTTGAAATTTTGAAACTGACATTTGAATTCCAATACTGACTGGTGCAAATACACACCCCTTTATTGCGAAGGACATGTTTTCTTTTATGTTTAACACTAAACTATCCGATAATTCATGTTGTCAATGTCTTTGAATTTGCTAACTATATCACAATATAAAAACATTGTAATTATTGTTTTTTTGTATCGGTTTCAGCCATGTCACAATGTAACGTTGGACAATTATAAGAACGAGCAATGTTCTGCAACAAACGGCGTTCAGTTCAACAATCAGTACTATACATGGAGGGCCTTCTTATCTTCAATCATTAAAGGTAAACATAACATTGAGTGGCGTAGCTACTCAGGCAAGGCCCCCCTCCCTATCCCTTCCAACCATCTTCTACCAATGTTCCCTCTTAGGTAGGATCCAAACTACAAAAGAAATTATTTTTATCTCTTGTTTTATTAACGTTTGTATCCCTGAGAGGTATAAGGCACGTGCTAATTTTCTAAGTAAGCAGGACATAAAATAATGTGCGATAGGTAAAGAATCCATGAAATTATTCTAACTTATGCTCCGGATCAACAATTTAAATCACAGACCTTAGTACTAGTCATAATCTTTTTATTGCATTCTTTAACGTTATAATAGCAATTGAGGGACACATATAGAACCCTTCAAAAGCATAAAAATGATGACAATGTGTATAATTTTCCCTCACTTAGGCAACAACGTTTGCAAGCTCCAATGCATATCGAATGCAAACTTCTATGCTCTCCGTGAACCAGGGAAGTATGCAGACGGTACACGGTGCTGGCATGATGAAACAGGAGAACAAGCTCTTACAAAAGCATGTGTGGACGGACTCTGTAAGGTAGGAAAATTTGCTATTCATAGAACATTAAATATTTCGAGAGCTTTTAAAAAAAAAACCCATTTTAGATCCAGATGCAGTAAAGGGAAGATAGACGAGCTATTTTTTAAAACATTTGAATACCTTTTTCTTCAAACTAAATTTAACATCCTTTTAAACCATCAATGATCAAACCTCGCTTATATATATTTTGTACGTATAGTTTCGAAGTGATTATTAAATTTGATAAGACTCTTTAAAAAATCTTATAAAGTGTTTTAATGTAGGCAATTTGACACTCAAGATGAGCTAAAGTAAATGGTACCATATAGACAACAAAAATCATGATCATTTTAGTAGAGCAATTTTCTTGTCGAAATGCTGTCAACATCACATTTTCCCTTTCGTATCAGTTTGCTGTCTTACTTTACTCATCAAAGACATCATTGAAATGTGAGTGACTTATTTTACCCTCCCCCTCCCCCTCTCCCTCTTCTCGTTTGTAGGAGTTTGGTTGTGATGGTGTTACGGGTTCTGGACGTATCAAGGATGTATGTGGTCGATGTGATGGTTCAGGGAGGACGTGTAAGAGACACGTAGGAAGAATCAGGAACGGTGGAGCCGTGCATGGTAGGTTATACAAGTTATATTTAATTACATCTTTCAGTCGGTTAATATATTACCCCTTTTGGTCAAGAACTCTTGCAATGTTTACACCAAGTGAATGTTTATTCCTCAGTCACAAAACTGAACCGACTCCAAAGCAAATAACAGTAATAGTAAAATATTGGTCATTCTGCATAATCTAATTGTATCTCGTCGGTGTCGCCGGGTGTCATGCTAAACGTAAAATTATGCCTGACACTAAACAAATGTTTTTTAAATAGTTTATTCTATTACAATCAAAAATTTTAAAAAACTTGACAAATTTAGGAGATATAAGACTTTCAGCTGAATAATTTCGGTACGTGCGTTGAATAAAACAAAATTTTGTTATTAAAAATCATGTTTTGTGTTCGAATATTTTAATTTTGAGAAACAATTTCGTCAAATTCATATTCTATTAGAACGTATATTTTTAATGTAAATTCTTTGTAATATGAAAGCTAAGACCTTTTTTTCCACTTCATTACAGATTTCAAAACATTCCTTCAAATTCCTGTGAACTCGACTGCTATCAAGATAACGAACCAGAATCTACGTTATACTCATATGTGTAAGTATCTTAATTTCTTCTTCAGTTTAAATATAATTTACATAGGGGAGATATCAAAGAGAGGTAGAACGCCCACTTTTCAATCCACGTTTCTTGTATTTTGTTTCATCCTTCCAATTAGGGTAGAAAATTATGGGCGCATCCGAAAGGCGAATGGGCTGAAGTCCCATTCCTTTTGAGAATCAAATAATTAATTCAAGATCATGTTGAAAATAATTCCCATCCTACCCACTCGGTAGCTTCTGAAGCTCATATTCCTTTCAGAGTTAGAAACCTCCTCATCTTTTGGACAATCCAAGATATGCCCCTGATTAAATATTACCTCAATTGTTTTTCTATGCTGTACATTCCAGAACATCATTCTGTAAGTGACATAGAGCACCTTTATATTTAAAATGACCATCTATTGCCTTTTTTCATTTATTTCCCAGCCGTGGAAGCTGACGGTGAGATAGTATTCCGCGGTCAGATGTTCATTCCTCCTCTCAGCCAGCGTTACAGTCATAGCGGTATGATCATCAAGTATCTAGCTGATGCCTTCCATAATAAAGAACATATCTGGGTTCTCTCTGGGCCTACCACAGCAGTCCTAGATGTATCTGTGATCTTGCTACACAATCCTAGATATCTTGGGAGTAGGGTTAAACCAGATATCACCTGGGAGTTCTATGCTCCCGTCACGGAGCCTGTCAGATATTAGTAAGTCAAACAATTTTCATAAACTTTTTTTAAATTGACAAACTATTTTTGCAGCCATTAATCTTTTATACATTGAATTGAATACAGTAGATGATGAAGTCAACACTTTTTCATCAATATGTTGTTTGTAGATAAGGCATGCATGTTATTTTAATCCGTTTTGTGATATGACTGTTTCTTAATATGAAAAGTGGTTTTACTTGACGGGATAGTAAAGGAGCACGCATTTGTTCATATTTGAAAGATAATAGTCTTACTCCTCAGTTTATATATATCAAAGGGCATTTAAGAATGTTTAAGAAGATGGAATGTTTGTAGGCTTTTCAATCTAGATACATGCCATGACACATGGATTGTATTTTAACTCAATAGAAGCCCCATATTGGCCCCCAAAAATGACAGGTTTTTAGAACCCGACTTTATTTGACTTTAAGCCGATTTTGGTTTCCACAATATACATGAAATTAAAGCTACATTTTGTAATATGGCACTTTGTAAAAGCACACGGTACAACCTTCAAGAAGAAATTTCTTTCTTTTTATCTAAGTTAAAACTGAAATACTATTCTTTTATATTTCAACATATTTATTGATCCGTTATTATTTTGGTTGTTTATAGTTGGCAGCATGAGATGTTGAGTGGATGTACAGTGACGTGTGGTGGAGGAATCAAGATCAGACGTGTCTTCTGTACAGAGGTAACATTTCACATCAACTCATCAAGAATGTTCATTAGTTCAAGGATCATATTTATCCATGTGAAAAATTCATATCAATTGAAATGAATAAGTTTGCAAGTAGAGTAACTATCATTGAGATGCAATGACCAACGAGATTGCATGTGGATACCCCCGCCCCCCTTAGAGAAATTGAACATTGTATATAATTATTTCAAAATATGAATGAACTACCTTTTGACCAACAACGAAACGGAAGACCATTTTCTTATAAATTAGAAGTATTCGTAATTTGTAACTGATAACATTGATAGATGGTGCATGTTCACGAAGAATCAATGATTTAATTCCAAATGTATGATTTACACAAGGAACCTTTTTTTCTGTATCTATTCAGAACATAGGAGGTGAGGCAGGTGAAGTGAGTGATTTATTCTGCGACTCCACCAAGAGGCCATCAGAGCGCCGTAGCTGTCAAAGCCAGCCTTGCCCCGTACCGGTCTGGGTCGTGGGACAATGGAGTCTAGTATGTCAAGTCATCAAAATTAATTGATTGATTCCAACATTTACCTTTTAGCTGATTTTTATACTGCTAAATTTTGGTCCGAGCAAAACTAAATCTTATCAATTTTATCTGAAATAGAACCTTCCGTGGAAGTGTCGTATATAAGATGACTTTATTTGTGAGGTTTTATGTGATAGTCCCAATATTGACAGTAGCGAATCCAGGATTTGTTTTTAGGTGGGGGGGGGGCACAATTAAAATTTGAATCTGTGACAAGCAACAACAAAAAGAAAGAAAAGGTAACCAATTTCTTTTCATGTGCCTTTTTTTTTAGTCGAAAATCACTGCCCAAATAAATTTCAATCGGGGGCAATTTTCTTTACTTAATGTGTTCTTCACCTTTGCTAGATTTTTTTTCTTCAAGGGGCACATGCCACCCCTTAGCCATACTCCCCTGTTTCGCAAAAACCAAGAATTCATGATTAGCTGTGGATATGTATAAAGTAGTGAAACACCGTTATTACTTTTTATATTATAAAAAAACGAATGAAAGCAATAAAATATAAAGTGTTAAATGAGGCATATATATATATATATATATATATATATATATATATATATATATATATATATATATTGATATGGTTTTACCCTTGTAGTGTTCAGCTACATGTAATGTAGGGAGGAGAAAGCGAGCCATAGCGTGCCTTCTAAATACAACAGGGGAGCCAGTGCCTGACTTATGTGATCCGAACCTCAGACCTGCCACCGAAGAACAGTGTGTCGAGGCACCCTGCCCTAGACCTACTGATGGTGAAAATGGTATGTGCACGCTGCTATACAACTTGCATGTAATTGTCCTTTAAATACCAATGCACGCTGCAACTATCTACAACAACATTCACACACGACTAACTCTGAATTAAGACTCTTGCATGTGCATTAACAAGTAATGACATCGATTTGAAGTTCTTTTAATGACCATGAAATATATTTTTCACAAAAATTCAAACAAAATTCCATACCCAGATCTCATGATCGGCTATCTTCTTTGGAAGGAATAAAATAGTTTTTAATCCAATACAGGTATTATTAGGTATTTCATAAAAATTGCAATTGCAGAGTTTCGAGTCAGTTGATAATGCACCGTTTTAAAAATAAGTATTGTGACATGCCTTTGTTTGGTATTTTGTACTAACTGCATGCTGCCCTTGTCTAACAAACCTGCTTGATTGGCTTCCTTTATTGCAATCCAGTAACCATGGTAACACCTACTACCAGCTCTTCGATGGATCCGAATCACTCGACCCCCTCGTCAGCATCGACTTCGAGTCCTACGTCATATGACAATGTGATCATGACGACGATTCACCATTATACAGCGCAAAGCTCAACTAAGACAACTGATGAATCGTATGACATAGATAATGATTCATTTAGATCTGATTCTCTTTCGGATGTAAGTGATATTGACACTTCTTCTCAAAATGTTGCTATCCAAACTTCAGAACAATTGGAGAAAACATATCATTCATCGCTTCCCAGCGAAGTTCCAACGAACATGGCGATTACGGATGTGTATGAGATTTCTAGCCGTGTTTCATCCACGAGTTCAGCGTCCCCCGTGTCCATTAATATCACATCTAAACCAGTTACTACTTCATCTCCGACTGTAGCAACATCCGATTTAAAGACACTTTCTATTAGGACCCATAGTTCATCCACATCTGTATCAAATTCAACGTCACCGCATATTACAGTTCCTTTATCTTCTACTTCGCCATCGATGCCATCAACAATGCCGTTGGCGTTAGCGACATCACCGTCATTACCCTCATCGTCGCCATCTTCATCATCGTTACCGTCGTCGTCGTCGTCGACATTACTAACTGCTCTGTTATCATTAGATGAAGATTACAATGGTAATGAAATGGTAGTTGATGAATCAGTATTCCTGTATTCCTCAGATGGCGATGAAAATGAAAATGCAGTAGAGTTTGATGAATCAGTACTGCATTCGAATCTAGAAACAAATCATGTGTTGTCGTCATCACTGATAATGCAACTATCATCATCGTCATCAGTATCATTGCATGGGAATGAGTTTTATCTCTCTTCGCGAATCAACCTCGCTATTGCATGGACCATTTTAATCACACTTTCTCTGACTCTTATGGAATAGACAATGTATGTTGATGTTCTACAAGTTTGAACCGGTTTGATCCAGTTTCTATCACTTTCTGCCTTGGTTGATTACGAGACAAATACATCATCCAAAGAAACATAATTATGTGATAATCACCTTTTAAATAGCACTACAAACATTCTATTTTATACTTGTGCGTGAGCCTTGCCTTGCCTTGCCAGGAAATCAGCATATCGGAGACGATTCTTGAGATGAAAATTGCCTGTTTTTATATTGCTGCATGCATGATAGTTTGTAGACCATATTGCTTGCCTAGAGACATCTGATCATTGTGCTTGTATAAGACGTGATAGAAATGAATGCATGATCTACATCTACCTCACACCCCACTTCATGCATCATGGCTCTACTTCGTCTCTATACACGTATGTATATCAACCGTTTTATGATTTAGTGTGTAATGTAAATTAAGAAATAGCCAACTTCTCCATCCCAGAGATATAAATGTGTTTGATAAAATGTCAATCAAGATTTCTCCCCGGGATTTCTCATATACATTTCGTGGTACAGTTGCCCTTGTACTTCTCCATGGTTATAGAGGGCGCTAACATATTCTACGAAGACGAAATCATCCCAAACCTCCCCTTTAAAAAAGAAGGTCCATCCTTTTTAAGTTGTTGAATAGATAATCATTGAATAGATAATCACCCATTGCAACAGAAAACATTTCGCATAAAAAGACCTCTTTTAATATTAGTTTTTTAAACGATATATCCTTGTATTGTACACAAAATGTTATAGTTGTCAATTCTGAACTATTCCGATATTATTTTAAAGAATAGAATATACAACTTTGAAATTACAAATGTATAAGTAAATTCAATATGCATAAGTTGTATCCATCTTTTCTAATTATTTCATTAATATTCATTTCTATTGTAGTTGATATCACCTGTAACGGTTTGACGAGAAGAAAAAATGGTTACATCGATCAGATCAACAGACCAACAGGTGGAGATTCGTGTACTGCTGTCATCGTAGCTCCTATTCATAAAGATATCATCTTCACTATAAAACAGATGTATATAGACTGTGATGCAGGTAAGTCTCTCTCCCCAACCCCCAACCCACCCCCCCCCCCTCCTCTCTCTCTCTCTCGCTCTCTCTCTCTCTCTTTCTCTCCCCCCCCCCCCCCCACCACCGACCCTTGTCTCCAAAAGTACAAATTAGTTACTGAACATATTAGCAATATCTAATTTTATATGTAACTTTGGTAGTGGATTCCCATATCACTTTATGAAGAAAAACTATTTTCCTGAACAACCCAACTCTTGAAAAGTACTTTGAATGCATATGCATTCAAAGTACTTTTCAAGAGTTGGGATCAGTATTATACTGATTCTTCTTTCCATATGTTTTATTGGCAATAAATGATATTATTTACAACGGACTTACAGGTAAAGTATGGCTTTATTTTCTGTTATTACAAAGTCCGGATTCAGTCTACTTCTTAGTATTTGGAACAAAATTTCATAAAATTCCATAGTTGTGATCGGCATTAATTTTATGGTAATTATGTTTTACATATCATTTGGTTATAACAACTGAATAGTGTACATTCTTTGTTTAATCAATTTGTATCCTATCTATATCTACCATATCTCTTCCTCATTTTGTAGGTGAATCATTAGAAATCAGAATAGGAGAATCGAGGCGGAGGTTATGCGGGAAACAATACCAGGTTACTATGGAAACAGAGAGTAATGTTATAGCGATTGAACATAAAACACACAAACAAGGGCATGGCTATCAACTTCTCTATCATTTACGGAAAAGCCGACATAAAAATGGTAAGTTTAATGATCAGTCATCAGTTACAGTAAAGGCAGATGTGTGACTATTTTTGCTTATTTTGTATACATCGTAGATATATGAAATAATGCAGTAAAATTAAAAGTGATATTTATATGACGTTCTTGCCTTGTCTATAATGTACTGCATGTTTGCACTATATTTATTTCGATAGTATAAAATGAAGCATCATATGCTAATGACTTGGCAGCAAGTATAATGGAATGAAATAAGTTAATTTTGAAGACTAATCAATAACGCAATATTACATCTGTACAACGGCGAGACCGACATCAGACCGAGAACAGTCCGAACAAAACATTACATCGTATGGCTATGAGTCGGTCTGTGTGGAATGGGTTTGGCGGTGTGATTGCTGTATCACAAGAGACTCGCGGTAGTATTACCATGCTCCAAAGAGAAAAATAAAAGTATGATTATTCGTATTAAGACGTAACACCTTTGAATATCTGTTCTCTTTTCACATTTATTCTCCAGATTGTGATAAACTGATAACAGACAGAAAGACAATAGTCACGAGTCCAGAGTGGCCTTCTAAGTATCCAAGCAATATGAACTGTACCTATAGGTTTGTAGGAGATCCTAGTAAGAAGATTACTTTTAGAGTTAAAGTATTCAAACTTCAAGGAAAGGAACCAAGGTGTAAGCACGATAAACTAGAGGTGAGTATTCAATATCCTACAGATCTATTTGTTAGTTTAGGAATAATTATGTCCTTATTTTTGTTTATGATTGTTCACAAAATGATTGAACATCATTAGTCAGCAGGTTATTTTGAACAGGGTGTTTAAAAGTATCTACGCCATAGTCAGTCTGATTTATTTAATTAATTCTTACAAAGTAAAAGGCTAGAAGCATAAATGTAAGCATAAGTAAATGAAAATGATAAGAAAACTTAGAAATTTTGCTCCACACCTGCTCTATATGTGTATCAACATAGAATAATAGAAATGAAATGCTTTTGAAGAAACATATGAAATGCAACATGTTTATCTATATACTCCCTTCTTTTTTCACCTCTCTCTCTCTTTCTTTATCTCTCTTTCTCTCTCTCTCTCTCTCTCTCTCTTTCTCTCTCTCTCCATCTCCCATTCTCTTCTGTCGGTCTACATTTTATTTATCAGTGTTGTTGATATCGAGACTTGTGGTCTTAATCTTGGTCTGAGACCCTCTGGTCTTGTTCTTGGACTTGAATACAACGTATTTTTTTTTATATTTATTCATTAATTTTATTTAATTACGGAAACACTTGCTTCAGCCAAATCTATGCACATCCTTATCTTTAAAACCTCACTTCTTCCCATCCATGTACAGTATTTCTGAAATATTTATTTTTTCTTTCATCTCTCCATTTTACCCCTTGTCCAGATGATAGATCTATTAACCAATGACAAGCTAACTCGATGTGGTACATCATCTTCTAAGTACAGCATACGTCTCTCGGGATACGATGGGTTAATTCGATTCACTTCAGATGATAATGTACAACTTGCTGGGTTCAAACTCATCGTGTATATTAAATAAAAATGAATTTTTGTCAATATGCCAAAAATGTATTCATTCTCTAGAAAACTATTTGATAGAAAGCCCTACATTAGAATGTTATTGTGTACCCAATTTTTAATTTGGACATTGTTGGAACTTGGATTTTGGAATTGGCTTGCTAAAAAAGCAAACTAAGCTAATTGATCTGACTATGACGAAATATTTTGGAAAATTGGTTTCGGTTCGGTATGATTGAATTATCATTTCGTTGGACAAAATTATTCTGCTGCAATGACCATAAATGTTCGGATCAGATAATGAACATACTTCTAATGTGGGGCTTTCTTATGTTTTGTTTTTCTCGTTACACAATTCCAAAAGTACTAATTGTTGTAATTACTTTTTATTGCTATGTTGTCATTGCGTACCCTTTGGTTAAGCAATGTTATTGATAAGGAAGAGCGTGGTAACGTCACGATGTTTTACTCATTCATGTATCACGAACGTTATTCCGATATTGAATAACATCATGCATCACAAACATCATATTCCTCTTTTTGTGGATAGGATTTTGATGATTCAATTCCTTGTAATGTTTTGCCCATATTGCAAACACTTGTTTTCTTGTCAATTTTAAAATGCAGGACTAATCTGCCACGAGGTCCATTATATGTAAATACCAAATCTTGCCATATTTTATCATATTTTACATATTTTAATGGAAAAACATTCAATGTAAATGCCATAATTCATGCCCTTTATATCTATAATGTAGATATTGATTTTAATATTGATATTTTGTATTAAAAAAAAACTATTTGGAAAAAATATTGATGAAATTGTTACAATTGCCTTTTGGAGTATAGAAACGAAAAGGGGAAAGATGAAAGGGGAAAAAATAGTTGCGGTATAATTTTCTGAAAGAAGTTAAGATACGTTTGGACATCAACGGTAAACAAAAGTGTATGTGAGTTTGATTATTTTGTTTTAATAAATAAAGTAAAAGAAAAAAAGAGATTCATGCCCTTGCTTTCTTGGCAGGTATTAAGATATCTAAGTATTGGAGCATATTTTAAAATTATTATTATTCATTGGGCTTTTAAGAAATGCAATGTCGCTGTCCACTATTTCAAGAAATAATCAAATTAATCAAAATAAATGTGGAACCATAGAATGTGAGGCTTCGCGTCAAGGGACGGTATATATTTATGTCATCGTAATCTATTATATCATTATTGGATAATATTTCTTGCCCATAATACCTCAATTATATTTATCTCTATAGCATTTATTTGTTTCAGTTATTTAGTTAATATTGTTTTCTGAAAATGTGTGGTCATGATGGTCCTATAATTACATTCTACACTAGACTTCATGACAATCCTTTGTCACAAATCTCTTATCTTATTTATTCATGGTATAATACAATTATGATTAGTGGTCAACGGCTGAATCGTTCACATTGGACAAACAATTTTTTTTTAAATACATAAAATACAATATTAAAAATTGTAAAAATATACAAACGCTCGATGATTCTCAATGTACAAAGAACACTTAAATTATTTAAGAAGAACAAATCTCATAATGAATCTCGTGACAATGCGTGTATATACAGATTTTAACAGCAGAATCATGAAGGAAAAAAACGTATTTACTGCACATAAGTAAAACCATGAAAAGAATTGCCTTCAATGCAAAGTCTGGGCTCATAGGGCATATCATTTTACCAAGATGTATATATCATGTCGATTTATGTTAGTTATTTATTTTCAGATGTCAGTTTTCTTGAATATATATTTATTGTTTGATGTTACTTGCTTTCAAAACAATTAAAGTTTTATTTTTGCCGATTTCGAACCTCTATGTGCCGTTAGTTTTTTTTTCTGTATCAATTGTTTTGACATAACAAGACTTTACTTTAGATTTTAATAATGACGTAAATTCTTAGTCAGTAGCCGGTAGCTTCCAAAAGCCACACAGTAGCCTTACAATTTCTCATAGTTCAAATTGTATTCATCATTCCAACTTGCTGGGAATGAGAAATGAGAGGGGTCTTATAGAACGTGGTCAAGATCAGCCTAAATACGAGTTACAAGCATTTCATATTGTCTTCCACGAAATCACGATCAGTTTTTAAAAGGAAAAGGAAAAATTCTAGAATGGATAAACACAAGGAAAGAAACATGTCCTCATTTTATAAATTATGCCTCGTTAGTAACACGTGACCATCTGAAGTAGCATAGTCACGTTAGTTCAGTTTGGAGCAATAAGGCACCATGCAGAGCCAGGCCGGAGAATGACTAAAATAATGTAATACTCTTGAACATGATGTCATCCTCTGTCCAAACACTCTTCCGATAGTGATGTCGGCATGGCAACATCCCAAGCTTGCATCACCGAAACTCTGTCGTCCAAGCCCGTCCAAGCTGGCTCATGATAAATGTATAGTCTGACTATATCATCAGTAGTACTACGAATGTTGAATGAATTCCTCATATCCTCTCATACACTGCCAAATGTACTCATTGCAAAATGTATGTCCATTATTCTGACGTCACGATGTTTCGGGAAAGCTGTGACGTCATGCTGATCGGCTGGCACAAGGGGCTTGTGGGATATGGAATACATTTGATGCAAACGGGTCCATCCAAACTATGGTTAAGAGGCTACAATGGGAAAATAAACAAGATAAACCATGAATGTAGAACTTGTTACAACCGACCGTTTGATTGGAATGTTTCAATGTCTGTCAGGTTCATGTAAGCGAGACAACATCAGCAACAAAATAAACACCAATATGTTTATTGGTTCTCTTTAAAGGTAATGTAATGTTTCTGGAAATTCCGAAAATTGGATGGATAGCAATTCTTTAAAATTCTGATATATTTGGATGGGGCATTCAAATATATCAAATATATCCAAATATATCAAAATTCTAGTGCTTATAATACGTCCATTGGGGCTATGGATGTATTATAAGCACTAGAAAATTTAGCACCCAACACACTTCTGCTTTCGAGAAATTGAAGAATCAGAATTTATCGGTGCTCCCGGTAAATTTCAAATATTTCAAATAGCGCCTAAGGCCATTCCATGGTAGCTGCGACCATGAAAATCTCACAATGTGCAGATCTGATATATAAAGTAATATCAGTCTTGAGAGGGAGCTATACAACATAAAGAGTTTATCATGATCACTGTCTTTAGACTCGATTTCAACCGCGACAACAATCATTGAATATTGTAAACTCGCATAATTATGCTTCCAATATGTTAATTTAAACCATATTTATGACCCCATACCAAAACTTTGTATTACCTTTAACATTTGTTCACAAAACGCAGTTTCGGGTGTTATTTTACGTTTATTTGGCAAACAATTTTAAAAGAACCTTAAAATGTTAATGCATTTGCCAAGCAACAGTTTTATACAAAAGCAGGCAAGCTTTCTCCCACTGGCCAGGATGTACCGTTGATTGTTTTCCATACGCACAATGTACCATAAATGGAAAACTTTTAGAAATTGACAAATTAATTTTGTTAGATCCTGGCGATTATAAATTTGAGTTACAAGCTTTATTCTCCTATACCTAACACATCAAATCATGGAAAATATAGATAAAAGTGATTCTAAACAAGTTACCACAGAATCCGGTACGTTTTAATTGCTCAAATAGAATGTGTTTGATAAGGGAGGACTCAAAGAGGTTGAAACATCCCCCACTCCCTGCCTTTTAAATACTTACTATGTTCCGTAGCTAGCGATGAAGAAGCTTACGATGACGCCAACCAAGTCGTCAATGATAGCCAGTGTCTCTGATGACTCGCCTAGGACGGAGACGACGATACCAGTGATGGCCAAGATACATGCAGCTAAAGAATTCACTCCTAAATGAAAACCAAAACACACAAACCAAACTGCATTTCAGTCGGGTCGTAAAACTTTTCGAAGATCTAATCAATAAATCATGATGCCATTCTGGCCAGGCTATATATATACTCATAAGTAACTAAATAGGGGAAGCGAATTCCATGAACTAAAAAAGGCCATTTGGTAAGCCCATTTGGTGAGCCCATTCGCATTTTTCCGATTGCATGTGATTATTTTAATTCTCTACTGATACCAGCACTTAAATTAAGTTTGATAAAACTACAGCTGCTGCTTTAAACGTACATCGCTACCAATAAGCAATGTTGATCATTTTTCTCAGAAAAGGCCTCTTTGATTATATTCCGCTGGATACTTTCCTGTGAACTAACTTACCATCAGCAATGAGAGCCGAGCTCTTGAGCACCACTGCGATGGGTGTTTTGGTGAGGAAGAAAAAGAACTGTAATCCACACCCAATACCCAGTAGAATGTAGATTATCTCACTCTGCATGAGGAGAAGAGATAGATAGATAAATAGACAGAGAGTGTGTGCTAAGAGTAGATATGTAAATAGATCAATTGATAGATAGGTTATTTATACGATTCGATGGATAGATAACGAGAGAGTGGGAACGGCAACAGTACAATAACAAAACATGTATTAGTGATAGTAGTAGTGGTAGTAGTAGTAGTAGAATGCTAGAAGTAGAAGTCGTAGTCGTAGTCGTAGTAGTAGTAGTAGTAGTAGTAGTAGTAGTAGTAGTAGTAGTAGCAGGAGTAGTAGTAGTAGTAGAATACTAGAAGTAGAAGTCGTAGTAGTGGTAGTAGTGTTGGTAGTGGTAGTAGTAGTAGTAGTAGTAGTAGTAGTAGTAGTAGTAGTAGTAGTAGTAGTAGTAGTAGTAGTAGTAGTAGTAGTAGTAGTAATAGTAGTAGTAGTGGTAGTAGTAGTAGTAGTAGTAGTAGTAGTAGCAGTAGTAGTAGTAGTAGTGGTGGTGGTAGTAGTAGTAGTAGTAGTAGTAGTAGTAGTAGTAGTAGCAACAGCAGCAGGAGTTGAAGTAATCGTAGTAATAGAAGTAATAATGGTGATGGTGGCAATGGTATAATAAAATCTTTTCTAAAAATTGATATTGAGCAATCGCGAACAATAAAAATAGGCAAATAAAATTGGTTCGCTGCTGCTCAAATGATGATATTACTGGCCTTATATTATGATAATCTTTAACAGTCAGAGAGATAAGATTCTTGATGGAATTATTCACAGTAAGTTTATCATACCTACCTCTTTTTCATCTTGTTCATCAAGGTTGTAAAGATATAACATAGCTCGTATCAAGATGAACATAGCAGCTAACCAAAACAAACAGCCAATTAATACCTGTGATCTGAATGAAAGGGTGAAAGGATTTTGGTAGGGTAATCATTTTGTCAGTGCGCATGGTCATGTTACTGGTCTAGCGCCCCCTTTCATTGAGGCGATGAGATGGCTCAGTTCTCAAATGGTGTCCCATTTTTTTAGTTCATAATTCGATTCTACTTAATTGCCTGCAAATAGACCTGTTTAATGATTTTCTCTATAAATTTTGAACAAACTTTTCTCATGACAATTTAAAAATATATCAGAGGCTTGTCTGTCATAGCAGCGACTATGCAGTATTCAAAGTGGATCCCATCCATAGAGATAAGGGATAGAAGCATGCATAAATTAAAAGCTGAATAAGCATATTTTAAAAAATACGATTTAAAACAATGAAATCGCGTCAGAAATGCAAAAAGTTTTATAAATATATCGAATAGATTAACGAAATTGAGGTTCGAGTTACTTACTGCAATTCTCGAATTCTTGATTTTCGTACAGAGACTGTGGAAAACGATCTCCATATGACGACCATTGCTCCCGAAGAATCCAATAAACAACTGAACTGCAAAGATGAAAAATGAATTCCGTTGATTTTCGGATAGCAAGTTTTGAATCTAAGTTTTAACTCGAAGGAAAAGGAGAGAAACAAATTGCTAAAGCAAAAATTGCAAAAAAAAAGTAAAATTAAATGTAATGGAAGATTGGTTGTTTTAAGCAGGTGCAAGCAAATATATTTCATGTTGATACCAATCAACAAAAATGGGAATTTAATTAGTTTCTAGTAAAATGATTGACAGGCATTTTTTTATTAGGATTGCGTTCGCTTGAATTTCATTTTGGTTGTCAGTCGCGTTGTTGCTATGGCGACAAAGCACTGGCATGTGGAGGCCCCAAACTTTGGAACACTCTCCCAGTATCGCTATGCTCCGTGTATACAGATATCGTAGTATTCATAAAAGCCTTTAAAACTTATCTTCAGTTTGATAAGTTTTATCATAGATTATAAATTGCACTTTGTAAAGCGCATAATGAGGGTTTACGGTCCTATGCTATTGAAGGAATTATTATTATTATTATTGTAAGAATTAAAACCCATACTCATAATAGACGATAAGAAATGTAAATCCCTGCAACATGAAGGTGACCCACCCTCCCCCTTGATTAAAAGGGTAGCTCTAGCTGATACAAATGACTTATCACGATTGTGTACACTAGACCTTTGATTTCTTTTAATGAAACCTGGACTCCTGATCTTACCTAGACACAGGCTCCTCACGTCTTATCATCCATGATGTTACGTATGAATCCCACCATTCTATTATTGTTATCTGATAGGCATGACCGCCTTGGATAAAAGTGTATTGACATGTCGGGGAAATCCCGGAATTCAAACTTTGCGCAGTTCACGACCGACTAACCTTTGGATAGACTTCAGATTTATTATAAGAAAATCTATTTTTATAAAATTATCTGATTAATCAATTGATATGATGGAACATTCTCACAGCTATACTAACATGGTTCTACCAAGCTAACTATTATTAACTGATTAACATACCTTTTCGCTACCCCCCTCGTCGTTTTCAGACTTAATGAAACTTTTATTTAAATGCATGTAGTTTTAATATCAATTCTTCTTCAGAGGATCTTGCATAAATTTATAATCAAGTGAAGATCTGGATTAGATGGACGGGAAAGGAAGCAGCAGGAGTTTTGAAGTTACTGATTAACTCTTCAAGATCCATACCGGTGGCATTATAGTCAAAATACATGTACCGTGGACATTGACAACTCGTTTTCCATATAACTTCAATTTATCGTCCTTATTCACTGTTAAATTTGTTTAATTGAAGGTGATTATAGTGACACTTATCGTTCTTATTCACTGTTAAATTTGTTTAATTGAAGATGATTATAGTGACACTTATCGTTCATGGTCACATGTTGTGTAATGCCACCACTTGTATCTAACGAAAGGCATTTCTCAAATGATAGAAATAGCGTCGTTGCTGTCTCCCTGATTTCAGCAGCCATACCTAGGCTATACTGGAAATACTGCCAAGTTGACTCCTTCACTGAAAGGTCATTCCTACCAGGCCCCATCTGCCCCTCGTCATTTTCAGACTTAATGAAACTTTTATTTAAATGCATGTAGTTTTAATATCAATTCGTCTCCAGAGGATCTTGCGGCATCTTCTTCTCAGTATGCCCACAGTTTCACAGAAAATCGCAAGAAATTGATAAAATGTTTAAACATTATATGGAAGAACATTCCCCGGCCCATACCCTAAAATTAGCATCGGCAATTCGAAAATATTCATCCTCTATAGATACTTACAGCAAACGCAAAAAGTGACGAACTTTCTGATCTAGAAGACTCAACTGAATATCAGAAATAAGATAAAACAAATAAAATAGTCACTCATAAGATGATTGGCAATGCACAGACTTGGTCAGTGTTGGCAGAAGAAAAGTCATTTATTTCTGCGAGAAATATTAAATCAAATTTCATACATATGCTTCATCTTCATTATTATATGCAGTTTTCTCTTCTTATCCTCATCTTCCTCTTTCTCATCCTATTCTTCTAATCTTCTTCTTCTTCTTCTTCTTCTTCTTTTTTTTTTTCTTCCTTCGTCTTCTTCTTTTTTCTTCTTCTTCTTCTTCTTCTTCTTCTTTTTTCTTCCTTCGTCTTCTTCTTCTTTTTTTTTCTACTTTTTTTTCTACTTCTTCTTCTTCTTCTTCTTCTTCTTCTTCTTCTTCTTCTTCTTCTTCTTCTTTTTTCTTCCTTCGTCTTCTTCTTCTTCTTTTTTTCTACTTCTTTTTTTCTTTCTACTTCTTCTTCTTCTTCTTTATTTTTCTCTTCTCTTCCTCCTCTACTTTTTGTTTTCCTTTTCTTTTCTTTTATCTTTTCCTATTCTTCTTTTTATTTTCTTTATCTTTTCCTATTCTTCTTTTTCTTATGTTTTATTTATTTAAAAAAAATTCTCGTCTGCTTCCATACTTGAATAATGGCTAGAATGTTGCACTTGTACAATCTTGGTTATAATTATAATATTAATTCACTCATATTGACTCAATGTACTTACTGAAGCATGCTGCACCCAGTAGGATGAGCAGAGCTGCTGAGATATAACCCAAAATCCTGGCTATTCTCCACAGGCGGGCATCTCGTTGTGATAGTACAAACTCAACACTCGGCTCATCTTGATCTACAGTTGAAGCTACAAAAGATATATTTAATAAACTTAAAAGTATAAGAGGAAATATATCATTGGTTGGGGTGAATAATTAGAGCAGGTGCTATAGCTTCTACCATCCAAGTATTCATCCATTCGACCAATCAGTGCCAATGATAACTTAGCTTGGTATAGTCCTAATCAGAGGATGGAAACTGACCTGCTAAATTACATATTATGGTTGGTAAAATCTTAAACCGCATCAGTTACAAGTGTAGTGGTAGTAGTAGTAGTAGTAGTAGTAGTAGTAGTAGTAGTAGTAGTAGTAGCGGTAGTGGTAGTAGTAGTAGTAGTAGTAGTAGTAGTAGTAGTAGTAGTAGTAGTAGTAGTAGTAGTAGTAGCCTAGTAGAAGTAGTAGTAGTAATAGTAGTAGTAGTAGTAGTAGTAGTAGTAGTAGTAGTAGTAGTAGTAGTAGTAGTAGAAGTAGCAGTAGTATTAGTATTAGTAGTAGTAGTAGTAGTAGTAGTAGTAGTAGTAGTAGTAGTAGTAGTATGAGAAGAGTTGTAGTATTTTTTTTCTTTCATTTCCAACAAAATAAAATAAAGTACATGGGATTGCATTGTACATAGTAAAACAATGAAACTTAACAATATATATATGTAATTGGTCCACAGTGTACAATAGTAGTAGTATTATTAATAGCTAGCGATAGTTTTTAAGGTAAAGTCGTGAAATCGATATTTTTGATGTTCTTAATGACACTCCAAAAACTGAGAAGCTAAGCAGAAAAAATTACAAGATTTTGAATATAACTTACCATTCGTGTCATTTCCTTGTTTGTTTGGTTCAATGCTAGTACATCTGCTATCCTCATCAGAATATGAAATTACCAGACTACTACTCTTACCAATCAGCCGAGTTCGCTCGTCAACTTCGTAAATAGCTTGCTCTAAATTTCCGTTTGAATCAAACTTTTTCTCATCGTTCGAACCAGAACCAGATGATAAACTTATCCTATTCCTATCCATTTTCTCCAGATTTGTTGGTATTTCGCTCCCGACAATAAATAATTCAATCTTGTTTCCCTTTTCGAAACTTCATTGAGTTCTTCTCAAACTCGAATCATTTCGACATCTCAGCGTGAATGTGATCAATGACACTTGCCTAAAAGTTTATTTGAAGAAAAAGTGAAAACAATTGCCTTCGTTTTACGAAAGGAGTTTGAATCTTATTGAAACAAGGTCACATACTGAACAATTGTAAAATCCATGACACAGAAACACTGAATGGACGTTTTCAAGTTAGAAGCAATGTGTCGTCTCGCCTTCATTATCTGTTTACTTAGATCGTACACGGTACGGATTTGTTTAAATCAAGGTTAATTAGTTATTTTACTTATCGTCTACTGATTAGTTCTTAAGATATTGCGTTAGTTCAAAGGTGGATGTTACAAGCTACTGAGAAGAGGGATGTAAACCGATAAAGGGTAAGACATGAGTTGCTAAAATACAGGAATGAGTGGAAAAGAATTTGAACAGAAATCAAATGGACAGTAGTTATACTGGGTAGACGAGTAGGCTTTGTAAGAAAGCTGATATTCTGTTACTGTAAACGAAGGAATTTTCGAAATCAGAAATGTCTAATCGGCCATCACGGCTAACCCCTATGGTATCATAATTATGAATGTCTTTTGTCATTCACATTA